AATTCCATGACGATGAGGAGGGGGGGGTCGCGCAATGTCTGTCGACTACTTACTCTCCGGCACCTATGGCCAACGATTCGTTGTTTCCCTTTATGAAATACATGTTATCACCCGTCCACTGATAGGCACTAAACTCTGGATTGAACCTGAATAGAAGAGATTCTCCGGTTCCGTAAAAATGATCGCTCACCTTGAGAGAACAGGAAGTCAAAGCTCCGAAAACCTAATTGGGGGAGGGGAGGGGAGAAAGAAGAATAAAAATAAATTATCGTTCGTTCAATCATTCATTCTCCATCATCGTGATTGATAATAATAATAATAATAAACAGTTATAAAATATTTTCTCTCACGTTATTATCAGTGTCTTGTATGACGAGCAATATCGGACTTTCGATTCTCGTCATTTTCCTATAGAGGGAATTGAGTGAAAATCCATGTTGAGACGTGCTGAAAACAAGAGTCCATAGGTATCCTTCCGCTCTTGCCGGCAAATGTCTGCAAAGTTGTTTCCGGTGTTCTTCCGTTAGTATTTCCGTCGAACCCACGAGATCCGGAACGTACGTTTCCAAATCGAGACTTCCAACCGATGATGCGTATAATGCTCTACGTAATTCTTCGCTCATAGACAGTACCTGAAAATCAATCACACACCATCATCATCATCATCAAATGGTAAGTAATTATTTTCCGGGACGAACGAAAACCGCGCGGGGGGAGGGAGAGGGAGCGGGGGGAACAGGAAAAGTGTTACTTACGTACCATAATTTTTTTCCTCAAATATTTTGCAAATTTCTGAAGCGGATCCAACAAATGGGTATTTTTAGAAAATTTCACTTTTCTCATACAATTTTTTTTTTCCCCTCCCTTTTGACACGAATTTTTTTCTAACATTTTTTCCCGCCAAATTTTTCAAAAAAAAAATTCAAAACGAAAACAAAAATTCGTTAACGGTAATCAAGAGAATATACCTCGTGAATGTGACGTCATCAAATGACAAACGCGACCGCAACAACACAACAAAAGGTTTAATTTAACGTTGTTTTTTTTTTCTATGTGTTTTAACACTTAAACAACAAACAAAATACAAACAACAAACAAATTAAAAAAGAAAACTTTAAGATCCGAATGAAAAATCAGAGAGAGAGAGAAAACGATTAATAAATAAATAAATAAAACGAGTCCCAAAGTTTTTTTCATTCGATCATCATCATCATCATCAACGTGCAACAAACAAACAACAAACAGTAGAATGAGAGAGAAAACGTTAAAACGTCATTAATTACGCGTAAATGTATATTATTAGTATTATTATTATTATTAGTTCTTTCAAATTATCTAAAAATAAAACTTAATATCAAACACGAATAAAAAGCACAATGAAAATTAATGGCGGCGCCACCACCTTTTCCTATCACATCCGGGATTTATAAAAATTTACAACTGCTCCTGTTCCTGCTCTTCCTGTCGTCGGTGATTAATTCCTTTTCATCCGGAAGAAGAACAACAACAACAACAACAAACAGTAAATTTTCAACTTTTCAATTCGAATGTAAAAATTAAAAAATCCTTAACGCGGAAATAAAAATTTTTTTTTTTGTGGGGGAAAAAAAAAATACGTTAACATTCGCGAACGTTTCAAATTTAACTGAAAATATGAAGAGAGTAATTATTTATTAATTGAATTCGAGCGATGCGATTGGCTCATTTTCAACTTTTCAAATCGTCTGGTTTGAAGGTGGGGAAAGTTCGACATCTCTCTCTCTCACTCTCTCTCCCCGTCTCTCTCTCTCGTTCTCTCTCTCTATCGCGCCACCTTGTCTTTCTTCTCCCCTCTCTCTCTCTCTCTCTCTCTCTCATCGTTATCAATAATAAAATTATGCCCATTTAAAGTTTATATTTAGCATCTAATTTGCATTTTTGGTTTTTACGACTGGAAAATTTTTTATTCAAAATTCGAGGTGACTACCAAAAAGAAAAAGAAGAAGACGGACCCCGGATATTGTATCAAGATAAAAAACAAGTGTCATCTTATTTTAATGAACATTCAATCTTCAATAAAAATTTACTCCTCGTTCCTCCTTTTATCTACCCCTTCCCTTCCTCTTCCCCTCACCCTTTCCCCTTCAAACGCGTTTACCGTCTCTATGGAATTTTTAGCAGAAGGATTCCCACATTTTTTTATTTATTCATTTGTTTTTGTTTTTTTTCGTTTTAATTGCCACGACGTTATTTTTACGTTTCGTTCGTTTTTTCTTTCATTAAAAAAAAACTTTGTTCGATTCCTTGACGATGTGAAATATACGTAAAAAGTGCGGCATTGAAAAAAAAACGGCCGGTGTTTAACAAAATAATAATAATAATATTAACTGATTTTAAATTTTCAAATGGGGGGGGGGGAATAAGAAAAACGGAAACGGAAACAAATAAACAATTAAATTTTCCCAATGCGATTTAAATAATTGATTGACAAGAGGGGGTGAGGGAATAATTAAAATCCGCCTTTCTCCCTTTCCCACTCCCTCCCGCCGGGAAAAATAAGCGATGAGCGAACGCGAACGCGAAACCGGATTTAAATCTTCTCCTTTTTCGTCGACGTACTCCCCCTCTCCCCACCTCCCTCCGTAAAATACTTCAACTCTCCCCCGCATTGTTACACATAATAATAATACATTTATCGACACCGTTTGTCGGTTTCTCTCTCTCTCTCTCTCTCTCTCTCTCTCTTTTTTTTTCTCACATTAAGATGACACAAAAAAAACCGGAAAGGTAATGCCAAGGCCGATTGTAAACGTTTATTATTATTATTATTATTATTATTATTATTATTTAATTTACAAGAGAAAAAAAAAAAAATTTTTTTTCAAATTTATTGCGTTTTAGTTTTAGTTTTTAAAAAAAATTTTCTTTTCACATCCTTGAGCAAGAGAGAGAGACAGATGGAGATGGAGACGAAGAGAGACAGAGAGAGAGAGAGAGAGATCAAACGGCAACCGCGGCCGTGTAAACAAATAAAATCCTGCCACGATCAAAATATATTCATAATCCCAACATTCGATTAAAGGAAAATCGAATTTTGCAACAACGCAATAATAAAAACGGTTAAACATTATTTTAAACTTACAATTCGTACGAGATTCGTTGCTAGTTCGTTCATTTTGGCATTTTCCATTGTGTCCATCTAAAGATGACCGGATTTATATACCTTAGAAACCTTACACGCGCGGTTCTTGAGAGAATCAGGTACCTGATGGTACTACAACAACAACAACTACCACCTCCACCACCACCGCCACCGCCACTACTACTACTGATTGAATTGCTTCGTTTTGCAATTATTATTATTATAATTGTTGTTGTTATTATCACCATTACGTTTCTCTCTCTCTCTCTCTCTCACTCTCACTCTCTCTATCTCTATCTCTCTCTACCCAATCTACTAGCAACAATTTTCGACCGTGATGCACGATATTTTAGGCTCGATTCCGGATTTAACGGTTCCTTTTTTTATTGATGGACGAATATTTGCAAAATGCAAATTTTTTACCTTGATGCCGCCATTGGAAAAAAAAAATGAAGCGAGTACGAATATAAATTATTCACCGAAAGTTCAATACTTAATACATTATCATCATCATCATCATCATTAACCTTGCATTCGCGGTGCGGGGGAGAAGGTGAGGTGAGGTGAGGGGAAGAAGAAATAACGATATTCTCATTGATTCGCGTAAAATAAAAATTTGAAAAAAAAAAAAAATCGCGCGCCTTCAACACAAACCGTGATTCGTTAATTACTATCATTATTATTATTATTTGTTGTCGTTGTTGTCGTGTCGCTAACAAAGATTCAAACAGACGACAAAAAAAAAAAAAAACGAACGAAAGTACCTCGAACCTCAAACGGAAATTTTCAATATATTACAACCGTTAATGTTTCATTAATTATTAATTGATAACAAGCGATTGTGTATTCCTTTTCTACCTACCTACCTACCTACCTACAAACAAACAAACAAACAAAACAAACATGTCTATCTCTATCTCTACACGAGGACAAAAAAAAACAAACAAACGGTGCAGCAATATGGCGGTGTGTTTTAATAACAACTATTTTTCACGCACGTACCTATTTATATTTACATAAAAATACAAGAGTGCGAAATAATAATAATAATAATAAGAGTTTTTTTTTTTTTACATTAAAAAAATTCTAATTTTTTGTGCTCGATCTATGATTTTTTTTTTTTTTTTTAATTGCATGCACTATTATCATTATTATTTATTCATTTGCATGGTTTTTTTTTTTTTTAAAGCGTCATCTAAGAGTCACGCACTCGCGCACGCGCACGCACGTACACACGCGCACTCACGCACATTTACCTAAACATCGATATACATTTATATATATATATATATATATACACATCCTTTATTTTCTCTACATCTATTATCGAACAATCGAACAATCAATCAATCAATCAATCAATCAATCAATCATATTCAAATAGTTTTGAAAACTAACAAGAAAAACATCATCATTATTTCTCTACGGCTAACAACTATAAAATTTAAAAAAGCAAAAAGTCCAAAGGTTTACACAAGTGTTGAAAAAAAATATAAAATAAAAATAAAAAAACATCGATCGAACAATCAATCAATCAGTCAATCAATCAATCAATCAATCACACCGAAAGGACGTAAATATTATAATCCAACAGACCTCATCATCATCAACATCATCGTTTGCACCCTGAGAATCTGACGATAGATTATGCGACTTCAATATCGTGTAGAGTTTGACGTAGGGTGCCTTCACCATCTTGGCAAGATACAAAATCAAATATCGAAAATAATTTAAATTATTTTCCCTTTTTTTTCCCTTTTTCGTAAATTTTCGGGAGCGGAAAATTAAATTTTCTTTTTTTTTTTTTTTGTAATCGAAATGATTCACTCACTCACCTCCCACGATTCTCTCGTCAAATCCGTGAGATCATCGTTGTCACCGGATTCTCCGACTCCTTCACCCTGCGTCGTCTCTTCGTCGTCCCAAAGTTCCGTGTCTGATTCCACGAGTTCGTAACCTCGGGATTTCAAATCCATATCTTCGAGATCTCCGTAATAATGCGGAACCCAAATGTGTAGGAAATTGTAAAGTTCATCAACCCTGCAAACAAACAAACAAACAAACAAACGATCATCCCAGAAGCATAAGCTCGTATGCATTTTCAAACTCTTTAAACAACAAACAAACAAACGAACATTTTCCTTTTCAACAACTCACCTATTCCTCGGTATACCAAACCAATACTCCGGCCTCATTTTCTTCTTACCATAAGACATTATGAGAGTTGATTTTGGTATTTTTTTATTTATGGGTTTTCCCATTCTTAGTCTTAGATACAAGGGTGGATCTTCGCACGGTCTCGCTGGTCTTAGTATTAATTCTGCAATGAATGAAAATCATGACGTCATCATCAGACGTGATGGAAGACAAAAAAACAAGACAGAGGAAAACTCACTATCGAATGAAACAAATAATTCGGGCATGTCTTCAACGGATACCATGCTCCTATAATCCAATTTAGGTGTCGCACTCCTTGAAGAATTTCCTTTTCCATCTTCGTGAGAATTTGAACTTCTTATGAAAGCTCCAACGGAAGATCGCCTACATATATATGTACATATATTTTTGTAAAACAAAATTAATAATAATAATAATGATAATCAATTTAAAATACTTAAGGTGACACAAAAATAATAAAGCTAAGGTGCTACATCGAAAGATGGGGTTAAAAAAAGTGACATACCTAAAATATACATAATATACATATAGTAAAAAGAATCAAGCGAAAATCTCAAAAGCACAGTAGATAAGAATAAGTGTGTGGGGAGGGTAGAGGGGGTAGGGGTAGGGGTGCGGTCGTTGGTTTTTTTAAAGAGGCTAAGAAAAAAGAAAGAAAAAATTTTTTTGTATAAAACACAAAAAGAGGGAGGAGGACCATATTTGTTGTTGTGGTCACTATGAGAACATCAATTTACGCTATAACAAGCAAGTTGGAATTGATTCTTACCCTAAAACGCCATCCTTTTTCCCGGCAGAATGAGCTTCGGTCGTGACGGATGGACAGGGTGTGTTGGGTGGTTGGGGAGGAAATCGGGATGCGAGGGGAGACCTCGTCACGGGAGGAGTGTTGGAACCGACGGGACTTTTGATTCCACCTCCCGACGAATCCTCGCTCGGGGTTTTCATCAAAAACAAATTAGTACCGAGATCCGACAAACCCGAACCTATGCCGGAACCTATGTCGACTATTCCCGAACCTATGCCGGACCCTATATCGACGATCCCAGACCCGATTCCGGTACCTATATCGACGATTCCGGAACCTATTCCCGTACCGAGATCGACAATACCCGAACCCAAATCCGCAATTCCCGATCCAATATCGGACACTAAATTTTTCGGAGAACTGCAACCCCACGTAGTAGGATATTATTTAATAGCATGAAGAAGGAAGTTAAAAAAAAGGGTTACCAGAAGAAGAAGAAAAAAAAAAAAAAAAAAACACGGCACATATTAGTAAAACCTTTTTAAAAATGATTGATTAAAAAAAAGGAAAATGAACGTTGCCACCATATGAAAAACATTTTTCCCTCATCCCATTTTTTTTTTTTCTTCTAAATTTTCCTCTCCGCAAAAAGGGACACAAACAAAAAAAGGTTCTCTCACCTTGAAAAAACTTTTGAAAAAACGGAAGAATGTTGAGAATCAGCTGAAGTTGGCAACGAAGAAAGTGAATCCTTTTCCGAATCCTTTGATTCGCTCACGAGTGATCCTTCCATCCAAGCCAGGGGATACGAAAGTCGTTTTAACATCTGGAAAAATCGGGGGGGGGGGAGGAGGAGGAAATTATTTACAATTTTTTTTATATAGATTTTTGTCGTTCCACTTTCATATAAATTTTCCGTACACACTTACTTTGCTTTTTTTTCCCTCCGGTACTTTTTCATCTTCCTTTTCCTCTTTTCCTGTTTCTTTACCATTACTATTACTATTATTACTATTATTATTATTATTATTGTTATTACTTTCAGAATCGACGCTAAACGAAACGGAATTGTTTTTCTTTTTCATATCCGGATTTGATACCAAAACAACGCATTCGTCTTTCGATGAAAAAATTATGTCGGCGTCACGTGTCACTCTTCTCAGCGGCGTCACCACGATGGGTACCTCTTGGTGATTCGTTGACGACGCCGAATCCCTTATGTCTATCCCTGAGTCGTAACAAGAAAGTTTTGTCAATTGACTTTTGTCTTCCAAACTTTCTTCTTTGTGTGGTTTTTCGGAAGATGATGAAGACGAAGAAGAAGACGAAGAGGTTACTTCTGCAATTTTATCATCAACATCATTACGTTACTCCTTTTTTTTTTATATTATTAACACCTGATACTTGCTCGTTCCTTATTTATTACCTTCGACTTTTTGTGCTGATTCTTCCGACGAGGGGATTTTTTTTTCACTTTCGGATTGAAAACTCACAGTTTCCGAAATAGACTTTGGTTTAGGAATTGCCCAGTGATGATCGAGAGAAGATGTTCGTCTTTCTTCCAACGTTCGAGGTTTCGAACTTCCCGTTTCCGGACAACTTTGTTGCGAGACTAGAGTCACATCTTGTGTCGTTGTTTGGTTGTTGGTAGGAGTTGCGTCTAAACAATCAATCAATAAAATTAATTTTATTTTTACGAAGGGAGAAAAAAAAAAAAAAAAAAAGGAAACTAAAATGCTACCAACTTAAATTAGTAGGAGTGACGAGATCGCGATCGAAAGCTTTTGGAAAAGCATCGCCGTCTCGTCCCACGTAGGAACTTAAACTTTCGTTATCCTCATCGGAACTTCCTTTACTCGGAGCTAATTCGGGAAATGTTTCGTCTTTAACTAACAATGAATCCCGTCCCGGTGATCCTTGGGGTTCGAGAGAAAGTTTTTCTATACAAAAAACAAATGAGTAATACCTTAGGTAAAGTCATTTAATATATCATCATCATCATCATCATCGTCATACCTTTCTCACTCGGTTCGGCATAATAAATTTCCGGTTTTATACAGTCTGACTTATTGTGCTTGTGCCCTACTTTCATGTGAGCTATGTCATAATAAATAGCCGCATTAACAACCAACTCCATGGGAGCAATGACACTGTAAAATTCCGAACCGTGTTCGATGACCAATGGATCCGAAACGTTTGGATCGAACATGACGGTATTTGGAGTAACCAAAAGTACTCCGCTCACAACACCCTGAATAACAATTACGAAAACGTTAATGATAATAATAATAATAATAATCACTTCATTTTTTTAATACAAAATCAATCAACCATCTCACCTGTCCATCTGTTATAAGTCGAACGTTTATTTTCAAAAATCTAGCTTCGTGTCTCCTCGATTGCGGCGACGTCGGAGCTTTTACACGTTCTATGTGACCCGGTTTGGGTGACACGGGCCTTAAATTATCTAGGATTTCCTTTTCCTCGGAGAGAGGTTCGTGTTCTCCATCTTCGGACGTTGACACCGACGTCAATGTTTCGTCGGCGTTTTCGTCACCTTTATTAAAACAACAACACAAGCCAATGAATAAAACTCGCGAGGGTAAGGCGACGATAATGTTTTCCTTTTTCAATGACGTCACGGGAATTTTGATTAAAATCTCGTTCGCGGCGAACGTTAAACCTTTGTAAAATTTTTCAATGAATTCAAATACGTTCGAAACTCGAAGAGTTGACATTAGAAGAAAATCACGAACGAACGTACGACGTACCTACGAAAACTGAATGTCCACGACCGACAACACCCCCTACTCTACTTGCTCATAAAACGACAAAAGAGAAAGAGAGAAAGAGAGAGAGAAAGAGACAGAGAGAAAGAGAGAGAGAAAGTAAAAATAAATTAGAAAAATTTATAAAACGAATGAAAAGCGTTTATATATACGAGCCTGAAAATGAAAACGTAACCGACCCACTTATTAACCGTTATTAGCGAATAATTCAATCGCGAACCTGATTCGCTTGTGTGCATGCACCTTAAAGCCTACCTTTTTTTTTTTTTTTCGGCCTTATAAAAATTAATTGTTATTAAAAACAAAAAAAAAAAAACCAATTAATGAAAATTATCAGGCACATAAAATTGCAACAACGACGATATTCATTCAAAACCCACGTACGTCATTTCATACGCGCACACACGCACAACCGGGAGGGGGAGGGGAGGGGAAATTACCTTCTCCTGGATTCTTTTTGTCCGGCACGTGAATCAATTGTCCCGGAAATATGAGGCTTGACGCTAATCGATTTAATTTCCTTAATTCCGATGGTGTGATGTCGAATCTCGCTGCCACGGAATTCAACGTGTCCGATGCTTGAACCTGTACGGAAAACAAAACCAACAACAATAATAATAATAATAACGAAAACAAATAAAATATAATCATCATCATCATCAACGTTTACATAATAATAATAATAATAATTACCGTGTATGGAATTGTGTTGATCGGAGGAAGAGTTTTTTTCTTTTCTTTTTCAACATCGCCATCCGAATCTGAAATTTGTCATCATGACAATGATAATGATAATTAATAATAATAATAATAATAATAATAATAATTTTCCCTGCCAAAAACGTCGTTTTTAATAAAAAAAAAATAACGACGAGATTTTCGATTTTCGAGTTTCGATTCTCGATTATTCGACTTGATTAAAAATTTCAATATTTATTGAAATCATTCGTTTGAGGTTAAAGTTCAAAGTTCAAATCAAGAAAAAAATAAATAAATAAATAAATAAATTTGTTTTTTTTTAAATGAGAAAAACAAATCTACTTCAATCGCAGAAAGATTTTCCCTTAATAATAATAATAATCAAACATTTTCCGTCGAAAGAAATAATGATGATAATAATAATAATAATAAAACAACTAAGTAATAGTAGTACGACTTTAAGATCGATAACTTAAACTTTTATTTTTTTTTTTTTTTTTCCGTGATTTGAAAGAGAAAAACAAATTATATACAAACGCGAGATGTTACGACCTAATTCCACGACTGGATAATAATAATAATAATAATAATAATAAAAACCTCAAACGAAAATCCCTTCATACTCTTTTCATCGGTTCATCAACAACAACAACAACAACAAGAACAGCAAAAAAACCGTTGAAAAAACAATATACCTTTTGTACGAATTTTTTTCTCGTCAGACACGTAAACCGACGACGTCGTAATGGACGCCATTTTTTTTTTGTCGCGACACTAGCGCTAGCTTTAGAATAACGTTAAAAGTTGCGGAAAATTTTAGAAACTCTTACAAACCGCACACACGCTTTCGTTACGGGAAAAAAAAAAAAAAAAAAAAAAAAAAAAACGTTTTGACGTTGGCAGAGAGAGAAAGAAAGAGAGAAAGAGAGAGAGAGAGAGAGAGAGAGAGAAAATTTTTTAAATAATTTGAAAATTATAAAACTCACCCGCGACAGAATCGAAACGATCTTCAACTTTGGTCCTGAGTAAATCCAAATCAAACGGGGATGATATCCCGTGGTCAACGCTTCGACTTTTGCTCCTGTTAACGACATTAAACTTTTTTTAATTTAATTAAAAAAATTAAACTAAAACGTTATCATTATCATTAGTGTTTTTTTTTTTACGTTAAAATGAATGATTGTCGACATACACAAACTATCGAAAAGCAATAAAAAAAAATTTTTTTTTACCTTGTGTAAGGAATCGAAAGATTTGTCCTACCGACATCCGTCGAAGCTCTTCTTGATCTACAAAATTAAAAAAATTTACACAACACAAAAAAAAAAAAAAAAAAAATTTTTTCGAAATAATTGGCAGCCATGTTTCATTTTTTCCCGCCTATTTATTTTCGCTTTTTTTTTTAAATTTCCATGCTTGTGCACGATTGCTTACCAAATCAGGTATCTAACAAAACGTTTGTTTTGCTGAATTGCATTTTCCTCTTTTTTTTTTTTCCCGACCATCGTAAGGCATTGTAAGGGAAAGTTACAGCAAAAATAATAATAATAATAATAATAATAATAATAAAATGCGCTAACTAAATTAAAAAAAACAACGACAAGCTTAAATAATACAAACATGCTCGATAAATGCTCGTTAGCACTTATTATATGTATATTAAAAAATGGGAAAAGTTATCGATTTATCGAAAGTTATCGATATTTATCGATACTCGATCGATTTTTACTGTCGCTTATTAATGAAAAAATTCGTGGGTAATAAAATGCGTCATGAGTGCGTGCATGCGTGCGATCATCGGGAAAAAAAAAAAAAAAAAAAAAAAAAAATTTAAATTAACGAAATAATTGACCAAAATAATAACTAGAACAAATAATAATGATAATGATGATAATAATATAACAATCTCTCTCTCTCTCTTTCTGGTCGGCCGAGGAAATTTTTAGTCGAAAAAAAAAAAAAAAAAAAAAAAAAAAAAAAAGAAAAAGGAGGTCACAGTTATACGTCCCAAGTGCGTGACGATAAAATAAAAATTTTATCATTGTTTTCTTTTTTTTTTTTTTTTTATTTACTTCACAAAGAGTGAGAGTGAGAGAGAGAGAGAGAGAGAGAGAGAGAGAGAGATGGAAGGAGAAAAGAAAAAAGAAAAAAGGAAAAAATACCTTTGAAAATTTTCATTTGGGCCATCTTCATTGTTAACTCGGGTCGTGGAAATCCAGACCTTACGGCGAAATAATAATAATAATAATAATAAATCGACGCCGCTTTTCCCGTACAAACGAGCTTTTTCCCGGAAAATTCCGAAAATTTTTCCACGTCCGCCGCGCGCTTTAAAATTCGTCAATTTTTTTTTTCTTCTTTTCCCCCTACCGTCGTTTCTAACCTTCTAACCGCTCGAAAACTTTCCCGTTTTATTTTTCCGGAGGAAAGGGGGGTGGGGTGGGATGGGGAATCAGACTGTCGAATAATAAAAAGAGCGAATAAAAAGTCCGACACGTTCTAATTCCACGTGTAAACAAAACAAAATGAATGTTATTAAAAAAAAAAAAAACCGTGTTAATTTTTGTGACGTTTCGACGCTCGGTTGGAAAATTCGTTTATTTATTCTCGAATGTTCTTTTATACCCCCCCCTCCCGTAAGCGCACAGTTCGTCTCCTCAATCGTCAGAAATTTCGTGCCTAAAAAGTTACGTAACGGAAAAAAAAAAAAAGTTTCGAAACGAAATAATAAAATGTAAAATGACTGTGTGCAAGTACAAAACGACGCGAGCGTTTCGCGAATTTACCCGCCATTTTGAATCCTCTGAGGTAAAAAATATCGAACGATATATAAACCTTTTTCAACCTTTCGATTATTATTTTAAATCTCGAAAAAAAAAGTAAAATGACGTCACTACCGAAAGATGGCATTGCTTGAAAACGACTAACCGGAAAGAGAGATAGATAGAGAGAGAGAGAGAGATGGAGAGAGATCGCAGCATGCGAGTTTAAATACCTGATCAATGGCAAAAGGGTCATGCAATGCAGCAACGCATGGATGATAATAATAATGATGATGATGATACCTTACTCTTTGCCTAAAATACTCACTCAATTTGATAACTGAATAAAACTTACCTGAAAATAAAAAGAAAAAAAAAATAAATAAATGTTAATCTATCAAAAGTATATTAGAATTTCCCCCCTTCCCCCTCCCTCCCCCAACTCAAATCATTTAATTACATTTGTTAATGATGATATTTACGGTTAGATTAATTAAATAATAATAATAATAATAATAATTTTCAAATCATTCAATTATACGAAAAAAAAAAAAAAAATCGCTTACACAAACACTGATTTTTTTAAATAGAAATCACCAAAATAATAATGATGATGATAATGATAATGATAATGATAATAATTGAAGCCTGATGACGTCGCATTCGACTAGTATACCGTCGAAGACATAGCATATACGACGTATCGTCGATGAATCATAATAATAATAATAATAATTATGATTGTACAAAATAAATAAATCAAAATCCACCATATATATATATATATCAAAACGCCATGTTGTTTTTCAACAAACACAACAACAACAAACACGACAACATTATCATCACCACGAATTTCACCGAATCACAAAAAAATTTTTCCTTTTATTTAAAAAAAAAAAAAAAAAAAATCAAATCAAATTAATAAACTTGAACGCGCTCTTATCAGCCAGAGGAATTGACTAATTAACCTTCATGATGAAGTCATTTGAAAATTATTTTGAAAAAAATATATTATTATTATTATTTTGAGAGAGAGAGAGAAAAAGAGAGAGAGGGGGAGGGGGAGGAGGGAGGAGGGAGGAAGAAATCAACCGTTTCAAATTGTCTCGAATTCGAGTTAACTGACGTTACACCGTCGTTTTGTTTATTTACGGTCGTTAAAACCACGTCTAATTTGTAGGAAGAAAAAAATAAATAATAATAATAATAATAATAATAATTTTTTTTTCTCTCTCTCTCTCTCTCTCTTTTAATTGACGAGAAAACGAACTTAATTACGCGGGATTTTTTTTTTCCGGGTACGGTTTTTTTTTTTTTTTTTTTTTTTTTTTTACAAAAAATTTCTATCTTAATTTTCCTCAAATGGAAATCGAAAGAGAGAGAGAGAGAGAGAGAGAGAGAAAAATTTTTACTTCTGAGGTACTAAAAGCGCGGAAAATATTTTTTTAAAAAAAATCATGTGACCTCTAATAATAATAATAATAATAATACACGTACGACGCACGCATTCATGTTTATACATAAAAGTGGTTTTAGGGTGCACATAATATATATATATAAATATTTTCACAAGAAAAAAATTTATTCTTACGTCATCAACGTGCAAACTTAATTAATTAATTTTTTTTTAAATTTAAATGGAACGGGGGGAGGGGGGGGAAATGTACCTAAACCTTAATTTTTTTTCCCCTCGAAACGTTTCTGCTGTGCAATTTACAAAATGAATGAGAATCTCGAGATTAAAAACACCGTAAATAAATTGCTAACGTGGCACCAGACCAATATAACAATGTTTGAGTCATGAAAAATAATAATAATAATAATAAATTAATTAATGATAATCTTTAGGAAGACACACAAAAAAAAAAAACAATTCGAAACCAGATTCTTCTCGAAAAATCAAGATATACCAACAAGGTTGCCACGGGTTTGTTCAAGGTCACATATTTTCCTGCAGGTTTTCTTTTTTTTCTCTTCAAAATCACCCACATGTACTCATTACGGGTACGAGTACGAGTACGGGGGGCGGGGGGCAGGGGGCGGAAGGAGATCAACATTCCAACGAGAGTAGTTTGGTGTAGTTTAGTAAACATCAATAAATTTATTAAACGACGGTGCCCCATAATATTCAATACCTTTGGATACCGGAATTAAATTTCTTTCATTCTTTCCTTCCCTTATTTGTTATTAACGACAACCGACCGCCATTTTTTCGTGGCAATAAGTGTTTAATCTCGTTAAACTCAAAACAAACTTACTTGGATGAAAAATCATCGGGGACAAAAATGTTCCACCAGGATTTTCTCTTGACTCTATCGTAAATGGGCGGTGAAATTTTTGCCGAACCTTCCGAAGTTTCGCATGAATCATTTCCGGTCGTGGTACCATCTCCTCCCGATCCCTGTTTCCTTTTCCTATCACCCTTACCGAATTTCTCTTTCGGCAAATGAGTGAATCTCGCTTGCCACGATTTTCTCCTCCCTCTTTTCTCATCCAAAATCCCGCCGGACGATCCTCTCTTTTCCTTTCTAAAAGTGTTTACGATTCCCACGATGGAATTGTGTCTCGTCCGACCTATTCTATACGTGGCCGGCTCATCCGTTTCGGGTTCCTCTCCGTATATGTCTTCTTTGATACCCGTGAGAGAACCTTCTCGCGACGTTCTCTCTCTTCCACCCAGATTTCTCTCGATGTTTTCAATGTTTTGCTCCGTGACGAGGGATTCTATGGATTTGCTCCCGGACACCAAACCAGAATTGACTTCCTCCCATTTTTTCGACATCAATGAAGTATTATTATTGTCTTTACTCGTCGTCGTTATGAGACTCGGACGATATGATATTTCTGCGTTCATGTTTAATGACAAAAAAAAAAAAAAAAAAAAAAACAAAAATCCGTTTCACGAGTCACACATTTTAAAAAAAAAAATTATTATGTTTCCTTTTTTCCTTTTTCCTTTTTCCTTTTTTTTACATAGTTTATAACAATTATTATTAAATTGTACACATCCGGATAAATTCACACACTCGTTAATGCCACGCAATTATTATTATTATTATTATTATTAAAAAAACAATCAATGTATTTTAGTATCTACAATAATAAAAAAAAAAAAAAAAAATTTTTTTACGCGTTCGATGTAAAAAAAAAAAAAAGGTGACAACGACAAACACGACAACAACAACAACAACACTAAAACGATCGAACAACGGTAATAAAAATAATATTTGTAATCAAACAAACAAACAACAATAACGGTTATAATCGGAATCGATTTCATTCAACAACAAGAGCAAATCTTTAAATAAACTTAATAATAATTTCTCATTTATTCATCATTTGTATGCATAAAAAAATCCGATCGAAACGACAAACGAACGACATGTTGTTGTTGCGCAATCAAACAAACAAACACACAAACACATTAATAAGAATAATGAGAGAGAGAGAGAGAGAGGCAATTATTCGTGAGAATTATCCATTATAAACAAACGACACCAAATTTGACACGACAAATGTGAGAAAACATAAATTAAATAAATAAAAAGAAAAAAAGAAAAAAAGAAAATTCTTTTCCTAACGTTCATCATCATCATCATCATCATCCTTCTCCTCCTCTCGTTTTATAAGAAAAAAATTAATCCTTCAACAAACAGGGAGAGAAAGAGAGAGAGAGAGAGAATTAAGATTCATCACGTGATTCCGAACCGAACGGAAGTAAAATTAATTACAAAAAAAAAAAAAACGTCACACAATCATTTTTGAAATTGAAAATCTGTCGAGAACAACAAACGAAGAATGATTATCATTATTATTATTATTATTATTAATCTCTCTTTCCGATGTGGTGGTGGTGGGGGTGGTAGTGGTGGTAGTACTATCAGCCCGAGGGTTGAATTCTCTCTCATCTCGCACATGCCTGCCGGAAACTCCTCCATCATCCAATCATTTCAGGTCATCAGACAACCAAAACGAAGAATAATCACGATCCAAGGTTGAATTCGTCACTTTGCAAAAAAACTCGCGAGAGAGAGAGAGAGAGAGAAACGTTTCTTAAATATTAAACATTTATAAAAAAAAAAAAAAAGAAAGAAACCAAGGAAGAATCCTTCGACTTACGACTCAGGAAGGAGGAAAATTTTAATTAACTTTAAATAAATATCGAAAAAAAAAATTTTTTTTTTTTATCTCGGGCAATTATCAACAAAACCAAACCGAACCGAAAAAATTATTTAAAAAAACCGGAAGCACGATAATTATAATTATTCGACAACAAACAACAACAACAACAACAAAAACAACAAAAATGCAAAAAAACAATTCAATGTCTCCCATACACCTTTTTTTTTTTATTAATTAAAAATTTAAAGGAAGTTTTTGGTCAAGCCCATATTATTATATACATACTTCAAATTTCTAAACCAAGGATAAGAAAGCCAACAACAACAACAACAACAACAACGCCAACATTGCCTTATACCTGCCAAAGGAGGCCGGAAAAACCTTCGCACGATTTTCTTTATCATCATCATCATCATCATCATCATCATCATCATCATCATCACCTCATAGAATTTAAATTAATTTTAACATTAAAAATAAAAACGTGCACGTTGTCACACAACACAAACCGACCGACCGATCAACCGATCAACCGACCAACCGAACAACCGACCAATTACTTCTCTCGTGAAAAACCAAATGAAAATGTCGTCAAAAAATGGCGTCAAAAAAGTGAAAATTCTCATTAACGATTATAAAAAATTAAAAAAAAAAAAAAATGGACACGTCCGAACGGGTCAAACCTTATCGATTGCCATCATTCGTATGCTGCCAAAAAGACGACGACGACGATGATGATTTTTAATGTCACCATCATCATTATTATTATTATTATTATTAATACTTCTGAGAATCCATTGGAAAAAGAGAGAGAGAGAGAGAGAGAGAGAGAGAGAGAATTAAGATTCATCACGTGATGCAACCAAACAGAAATAAAATTAATTATTTCTACGTACGAAATGAAATGATAAAAAAAGACGATCAATAAGAAGTAATAATAATAATAATAATAATAATAATAATAATAATAATAATAATAATAATAATAATAAGCAAACAAATTTTTTTTGGGGGGTACAAACCCCCCCCCCCCCCCTGTATGAAATTCATGGCTCCCACTATTTAAAAAAAAAAAAAAAAAGAGAGAGAGAGAGAGAGAGAAAGAAAAAAGAAACATGATGCTCACGCGACATATTTCAATACCGGCAAACAACGAATAAGTCATAGAGAAAGAAAAAGAGAGAAAGAGAAAGAGAGAGGGAGAGGGGAGCGAGGGGGGGGGGAGAGAGAGAGAGAGAAACAAACGAATTCATTAGTTAATTTAGGACACGGCCGTGATGTTAAATAATAATAATAAAATTTTTTTATTCTGCACGTACGTTAAAAATATTTTTTTAGAAAACGTTTTTTTCCTTTTTTTTTTTTTTTTCCTTTTTCGTATTTATAATAAATTAAAAAAAAAAAAAAAAAAAAAAATTACGACGAAAAACAAACAAACGAACAAACAAACAAACAGATAATCGATCATCCATTATTATTATTATTATTATTAATTACGTGCGAAATAAATAAAAAATGTAACCGATCGATCGATACAACAACAACAACAACAACAACGAAAAAAATTTCTTTTCTTTTCTTTTCTTTTCGCTCTTTTTTATTAAAGGAAACGTTTTCGTGGAATTAGAAATTGATTAATTATTATTTCCACGTCGAAATATATTATTAAAGCAAAACGTATAGAAGAACGAACGAACGATCGATCAATTTTCCCTCACTTTTTGTTTTTTCCTTCCTTTAAATCCAACAACAACAACAACACCAACAAAATGATTTTTTTTAAAATTATAATTAACGTTATTTTGTTGTAAAAAAAAAAAAAAAAAAAAAATTAAAAGTGAAACAAACAAACAAACGACAAAATCATTACACCACACCCAAAACGATTTTAAAAAAAAAGAAGAAACGAAATTTGCGGTTTGACGTTTACATTATTGCGGTAAATATTTCGTCGCAATTTTTTTTGAAAAATCGTGTTAATGATAATAATGATGATAATAATGATGATAATAATGATAATAATAATAATAATAATAATAATAATAATAATAATAATAATAAACGAAATATTTTGCGTATGTGTCTTCTCATCGTGGGGATGAAATGAAACAAACAAACAAACGAACGAGTTTAATGCGAACAAAAAAAAAAAAAAAACAAAAACAAAATGGATTCCTATCTGTTAAATTGTATTTATTATATTTAAAAAACCTTGATTCGCACAAATCATTTTTTTTTTTCATCAAACACGTTGTTCGAAAACAATCAGACCTTCATTTTTTTTTTTTTTTTTTTTTCCAAGTTATTCGACTGACTTAATCATAAACAAAGAAAAAAACAATCGATACGAACGAAGAAGGTTCTCATCACACACCGTACACACGTTTGTTAAGAAGAAAGAGACAGAGAGAGAGAGAGATAGAGACAGAGGTTATCATTATTATCATTATTATCATTATTATTATTATTAACGCCGAATAAATAAATAAAATAAAAAATAAAACTAACAACGCCTTGACCCTCAGAAAAATAAAAAATACCTTGACAAAGCTTAAAACGTACTCAAAGGAAATAATTTTCTCTCTCTCTCTCTCTCTCTCTCACCCTCCCTCTCTCACTCTCTCTTCACCACCACCACCACCACCATCGGTGGTGAATAAAACGAAAAAAAATTTCTTTTTCAAATGTTGGTACGAAAAAAAAAAAAAAAATTTACAAAAGAACCTTTAAATCGATGATGATAAAAATTTCAAATCGATTTTTCTTATGCACGATTTTCACTTTAAAAACGCGCACTCGTACACGCAGTCACGCACGCACTCGCGCACGCACAAAAAAAAGAGGAAAAAAATTAAAATTTTTTTTTTTTTTATTTTTGAGAAAAAAAAACAAACGACGAAGGAATAAAATTTGGTCAGGGGCAACGAGTATTATTTTACCCGGGACGAAACAAAAACACCGAATCCAGAATCTATAAATATCGTCAAAGCGAACGAACGAACGAACCTACGAGACAGAGAGGGAATCAGGTAGGCAGGCAGGTATGTAGGTAGGTAGATAGGTATGGGAGACAAAAAAAAAAAACGGGACTCCCAAATCGTCGTCATCATTTTTTTATCCCATTCGATTAGATCAAGCAACGATAAACTACCTACGTCTCATCGAGATATAATTAAACTTGCTTCCTTCTCTCTCTCTCTCTCTCTCTATCAGTAACCATCCGAATGGAAAAAAAATATCATTTAAAAATGTTTACAATTTTATAGGATAGAAATGATAAGTGCCACCATCACCACCACCACCACCACCACCTCTTGAGATAACAGTTTCTTTCCTTCCAACGTTGCCCAAGTGATAAATGTAAAAAAAATGTGTGTGAGAGAGAAAGAGAGAAAGAGAGAGTGTTAAAACCGGTTCAATAATGACGATCACCTTGGCGGAAGTTATTTAGCTAAACCAAATAGTAATAATAATAATAATAAAAGAGCCCAAAGTATAAATTAACATCGAGGCACACCTTTTGATTAAAAAAAAAAAAAAAATCAAATCGAACCTAAAAAAAAAATATTCATTCCGGATAAAGGGATATTACTCAATTTCATGTTTAATAATCCAAAATAATCTACTCGACGAACGTTGATTATTATTATTATTATTATCATTATTATAAATAAATAAATAAATAATAATAATATTATTTAATCAGAGTTTTTTTTTTTTTTAAATTAAATA